AATTATGACATGGCTGAATCCTATGTTCTTTTATCAGTCTTTGTACAGCCAGATACCATGCAAATGTGTCATCTTTAAAAGTTTATGCTGTTTTGAGGGTTTATTCCCCCCCCCATGATCAAAGGTGACTACCAATAAAATATTCCTTTGTTATTTAATGTGCCGTCGCTGTCCACATGACTGCTTCCAAACTCCGTTTAAAAATCTGTAGCAATGGTGAACTCCATAAAAACAAATGGGACTTCTTTTCCTTATAAGCCATTCGGTACCTTCCTGCACATTTTAACATGTCTCTTCTTAAAAACACCCTACATATTGGTCGTCTAGTCTTCAGGACGTTGTGTTGTTCACCCTATGACTATTTCTATATCGGTGGATTGAATTCCTCAGCGATTCAGAGGGGTCACAATAGGCCATGTCCTCCTGACTGTGATGAGATACAGAAAATGAGAGGAATAATATCTAAAGAATACACACACACACATACACACACAGATATAAACGCACACATATAAAGATACACATAATATAAACACATATACATACTGACCTATACAGAAACACCTATCTCTATATCAGCACACCCATCAACACAGATAGAAATGCTCATCTGTAAACACCCATTTAAACACAGATATAAACACACACGTATCTATACACCCAGATATAAACACACGTGTCTTTATACAGACAGATATACACCCATGTATATGCACACACAGATATAAACATGTATATCTATACAAAGATATAAACACACACATCTCTGTACACAAAGACAGAAACACACTTCTATATACATACAGATATAAACATACACATCTCCGTACACACAGATATAAACACACGTGTATTTATACACACAGATATAAACACATGTATAGAAACACCCACATATCTAAAGACAGAGATATCAATACATATATTTAAACAGGCATGTGTCTATACACAGATATAAACATATATTTAAAGACACACCTATGAATACACAGACATAAACACATATATTTAAACACACACCTATGAATACACAAATATAAACACACAAGTGTGTATACATAGATTTAAACACACACCCATAGGTAAACACACAGATGTAAACACATGTATATAAACAAACATATATCTATACACAGAGTATCAACACACATATTTAAACACGCACGTTATCTAGTCAGAGACATAAATGCACATGTATGTATACATATAGGTATCAACACACATGTACCTCAACACACACATTTAAACACACACGTATTGATACACAGATGTAAACACAAATATCTAGACACAGAGATATCAACACACACATGTATTTATACAGAGTTATAAACACACACGTATCTAAAGATGGAGGTATCAACAGACATATTTAAACACATGTATCTATACAGAGATGTAAACTCACACATTTCTATACAGAGATATAAGCACACGTATTGATACAGAGATATAAACACACACATATCTAAACACACAGATATCAACACACGCACGTATTTATACAGAGTTATAAACACACACGTATCTATACCTATAGGTATCAACACACACATATATAGACACAGATATAAACACACAAATATCTATATACAGGGATTTAAACACATATACACACAGATATAAACACATGTATCTGTACATACAGATATTAACACATGTACTTATACACACAGATATCAACACACAAATCCATACACCTGGATATTAACACACACGTATTTACACACAGAGAGATGTAAACATGCATGTATCTATATGCGCAGATATCAACACCTATATCTATGCCGATTTTAACACATATATATCTATACACACACATATATATGTATAAACAGACATATGAATGAACAAAAAAATACACAGCAATATAAACACACCTATATAAACACACACACACCTGTATAAACTCACACATAATCACACACACACACACACACACACATATATAAACACAGACAAGCTCCTGGTAGGTTTGAACCTCTGATTTTCTGGGTAGCAGCTGGATTGTTAGGTATGAAACTCTCGGAGGTCTTTCCAGCACACGGAGGGTCTTGGGGACAAAGGACTGAAAAAATGGATTTTGAGAAACCCTGCCGTGTGGAGCCCAGGTCTCCACCTGTGAGATGTTATACAGAATTGGCTGGAGCCCACCATCACCTTTTAACCTCTGTTTTGTTTCTCCCAAAACACACACGGTCCTGGGAGGTGAGGTGCTGGGAGGTGAGGTGCTGGGGAAGGTGAGGTTCTGGGGAGATGAGGTCCTGGGAGGTGAGGTCCTGGGGAGGATGAGGTCCTGGGGGGTGACACTTACCCACCATCCAGTCCAACTCCTCCACGTTGTCCCCGTACAGCCCGTATTTGCTGTGTCCCACAAACTTCTCCTTAGTCAGGAGAGGCCTGTGCACGTGCAGGAAGGAGACGAAGAGAAGAAACGGAGCTCGCTTGTACCTAAAGTGGGGTGGAGACCAGGCACAGTGTCACAGGCATCGTGCTGTGTGCCTGAGTGTCCCTCCATGGTGCGGGCAGACCGTCCACCCGGCTGTCCCAATCAGCTAAGACTGGGCGTGCTTGATCACTAAGGCATAGACCTATCAATTCACAAGATTGTTCTCATCTGCAAAGACCACGCACTCTTGTCCGTAAGGAATCATCCCACAGGGTCAAAAGGCATCTGGGAAACTCTGGTAGCTTCTTGGGGTGCTTATGTGCCCTCAAATTGCTTGCAACCTTTTTTGCAACAGCTCTGAACCCTGCTCTATTCTGTGCCAACCACATTGTCTCCGACACATCTACCCCCGTGACTCCAGTCACTGAATCAATCCATCTCATCCAGGGTCTTCCACTCCTGCACCGTCCCTCCACCCTCCCAAGCATGACATCCATCTCCAAGGACCGGTCCCTCCTTAAAACACGTCCAAAGTATGTTAGATGGAGCCTCAGAATCCTTGCCTCCAAGGAGC